TTGCAACAGATCCATTCAGCAGAGCATTGCCGAAGTTTCCGGTGTCTCATGAAGATCTCAGCAGCTGAGGCGATTCTCGCTAACTTTCGTCTGTCGTGTATGCTGGCTCTGTCTATGATGTTGTTGGTGACGTCACTGTGGCTGGCTCCTCCTCAACTGCCTCTATCGGGGTTTCGTTCAACGCTGATTGCGACATTTTGCGTTTTTGACTCATGTCTCTTCGAATTCGCATCCATTCTGGCTCGGAGGAAGAATTGTCTGAAAAGAAGGTTCAAAAAAGTGGGGTAAAAGCTAAACATCCCCGGACGCAACATCCGAATATATTTCAAATCCACCAAAAACGCGATAGTTCAGTAGTCACAAGCAAAGAAGTGCATCATTGAAGTGAACATAGCAGTGACTTGAATGCGAATTTGTTTATAATGGAACAAACTTGCACCGCATTTCACTTCACTCTCCCCACGCCCGTTATGTTCCGATGGCAATAAAATGCCAAGGCAACTAAAATGAGCTTCAGCGTAGTGAGTCATAAAGATAAACTGCAACCCTCAAATTTGCATAGGTTTTAGGTGCAAATGGTTTTATCCCGAATGAGGTAAAAAAAGAACCTAATGAGAGCTGCATTAAGTAACTAACACAGACTGACCAGCTTCCCACAGGCTCATGCGATTGTTTGAACGCCCTCTAGACTGCGAACATTATTGCATTGTGGTACTTTCTGACGCGTCAAATGATTATGGTGAGGGATGCACCGAACTTCAGGTAGACTGAGGACCTTGGTATCCACCCTTCTTACTCATCCGTCTCCGAATTATCAGTGGCTCGGCCCTGTTGATTATTCGAACAGGCGCAGCAACTGGTGGGGCGTGAACCTACACTTAGCGTGTCATCTATGGATGTCGAAACTGTGTGTGAGACTCGGCGCTGGCCCACGCACACATGCTACAAAAACAGATTTGCGCTTTAATGTGGTCTGATGCAACCATCAAGCGGCTAGTTGAGAAAGTTTGGTGAGCAGAGCAACGAATCTCAAGACTGAACCGATACCAATGAAATATACTTGCTGGGCGTGCAAAATTTTGCTTGCACTCGTAAAAAATGTTCAAGGTAAATCGAAGTCAGTAGTCTTAAAATCATTAGCATGAAAACTAACATATTCGAACAGATTAATGCGACCATGCTCTCTGATTGGTTCGCGTTAACTTTATGTGAATTATAAATGCATAGTGAATACTTACTACAAAAATATAAGCATCAGCATTATGTGTAATTAAGGACTTAGACTGCAGAGACATGTGCAGGTATGGCGCAGGTATCTTGGATTAGATCGAAAAATAGGCCGATGGCGTGGCCGAGAAAGGGCAGGAGTAGCGGTCGCATATATTTTTACAGCGGCTAAGAAGACGCACTAAAGCGTCATACAGGGGCACAAGATCATTGAAAAATGCGTGTGTCTAGGCTGTTAGATACTACATGTGTTGTCCATATGGGAAGTTATTCAGTATTTGTATGCTACTGATTGCCTTTTGGCTGCTTTCGATTATTACACGATTGCCCCACAAGAGTTGATGTATTTCAGTACAAATTTCATATCAAATTTCGGACTCAGCCTGAAAATCTTTGTTCCAAAAGTTGTATTTTTAGTTCGCTCATTAATTTTCGAGGGAATTAAAAGGGAAAAATAATAGAAAGCCCGATTACTGATTACCCCTGTTAGGCGTAACGCGTTTAGCAACAGGCATCAACTAGTTATGCAAATAATTCTTTATGAGTTAATTTGTGGAATCCGTTTGAAGTGAGTTAATGATGAACGTTTGTTAAGTTGAATTTATTTTACTGAATATGATGGCAAACCAGACAGCGTTGGTAGATAGCGAAGACAGCCAAATACCCACAAAGTCTGTTAACTGCAATGATTAACTCAGTCAGCGGATACAGACAGGACAGCTATTTCGAGATTGTCTAATACTTTCTATTTTTATGGTCGTTGACCCACAAGTCGGAGCCCACATATCGGAGGCGTACATTGTTTGTCTTTATACTGCAACTGTATGCATTTTTCGATGGTATTGCCCGCGGACCAGGGCGGTAGCTAAGCCAAAATTAGAAGTTGTCTCAGGCTCCGATGCTCAATCTGGTCAGCTTCTGGTACTGTTTGCGTGACCAATTAGCGAACTGGGAGGCATTAACCGACAGTGTTACCAGGGCGCAGTGGGCTGAGGTCTGGCGCACCGACTGCCTT